TAGGGTTTAGGGGTTTAGGGGAATGATTCGGACCCGAAAATTCAGAGTCTTTTGGGGCTGCCGGTTTAGTTTGCAGAGGCTTATTTATTTTGTACTTTTTGGCGCTCCTGAAGCGTGTTTCATGCCTGGGGTCTCCAAACCATGCTACCCGAACCTGTAAAGGGCTTGGGGCTTTAGGTTTTGGGCCTGCCCAGAATCCCAAACCCTGAACGAACAAAAGACTGAGTCTCACAGCGCAAGTTCTGCGAACAGCAATCCCAAAGTCGCACCTGGGGATTGTCGCGGTCATCTGCGACTGCAGTGGGACGAGCACCCTCCACTTCTCACTCCTTCCGNNAGGCCCAGAGAGCCCAATGCCCCTTAAAAGAAGGAATATACCTTAAATTATAGGGGGCTTAAATATTATGATTTAAGGTAACTATATTCCTTAAACAAGGGGTATTGGGCTCTCTGGGGGTGTGCCCTTGGGCTTCATGGAAAGCATCGGCTCAAGACCCACACTCCATGGGCGGATGTTACGAATGCACACAAGGCTTCAGCCATTGCCTCCCGGATGCTGTTCGACTTTCTACCCTCATTATTGGTATTACACCTCCGATGATTTCGTTGCTACAATCATTATGACTGCGATTCTATGATTTATGGTTATGAACTAGCTACTCCTTGTGGTGCTATACTCCTGTTATCGTGGCTGCTGTGGCTGCCCCCGCTCAGGGATTCCAGCCATCGTCATCCCATAATCCCAAGAATTTTGATAATCAAAACCCGGAACCCAGACCGCAGAATGCCCCGGATAGAGTTCGCGGGGTGCAATATCGTATGATCATAAGAAGGAGCTGCCAGGAATAATGTTACTATTTATTCCGACCCTTATAACTACAGTATAGCCCTGGCTTCTTGCACCTGGAGGACTGCACTGCGGCCAGCCGCGGAAATGTTTTTGAAAGCCGCAGGACCTCAGAACTTTCGGTTGTGTGTTTGGGCCTTTTAAGGGACTTAAAAAGGGCTTCAGTGTTGAAGGTACCTGTGGCTCCATTTGCCCGCGCCTTACGAGGGATCAGAATCTGGTATTTCGCAGGGTCAGGGGTTGCCGGACGTCAACTGCCTACAAATACGAAGCACTCTCGTCCTATAACTCAGAGACTCAACATGAAAACAAACGCATACAGCTTTCTATCATACACCACACATCGGAGCCCTTACAAGGAAAGGTTTCTCCAAGCCCCTTTCATTCATCAATCACGATTGTCAAGGGACCCGGCATGCCCATTCAGGTATACACACAGGAGCGCTTAGGGTTCCGTGGCTTCAGCATTCGTGGCTTGACACTTTCCTGAGCAGCTCCAGAAGCTTCGCTATGCCGGAATGTCCTCACCGAGCAAAAGAACAAAGACCCCTGAAAGCAAAGAAGGTGTACTTGGGTCCGAGACGTCCTGGCCGTTTGAGTTCGCCAGGGAAATCAGATCCTGCCATGGGCACTGCAAGGTTTCAGGGCCTGGGGTCTAAGGCTTTGGGCTCAGGAACTCCAAGTCAGGGTTGCAGGGCTTCAGCTGTAACTGCATACGGGTTAAGGGTTTAGGGTTTAGGGTGTATGGCACTGTGGTATAGAGTGGAGTGGAGCAACGTATAAAATCCTCTGTAAAACCTTAGGCGGGTCATCGCAGTCTCGGCTGCCTCGGCAATGCGGGTCCGCTGGGCGAACAAGGTGTGCAGCTCCCGGTCTTGCCTGGAGGAAAGGGAGAGGATCGGCTGGGCATCGGATTTGGGTTCTTGCAGCCGCTGCCAAGGCTTCGGTGCTGAAACAAGAGCTGAAAAGGCCAGCCGTTGCAGGGCCTTCCGACGTCGCTCAGCAGCTCCTTCCCAAGTCAAGGCTCAGACTGCCCCCTACACTCGAAAGGGCCGTGGAGGGAGGCTGCCGTCTACAGCACGCAAAGGCGGCCACCGTTCAAACCCCCACTGAGCAGAGCCCGCGAGAAGTCGGGGCTTCGGGTTTCAGAATCGAGCTTCTCGTTATGGATAGGCTCGGGGTTTGGGGTACTCTTCTTGCAAACAGGAGAGCTCCTTCCCAAGCTGCTGGTGGACTTTGTCATCCTCGGTTGGACGAGTCACTGCTCCGCACACCCCACCGGTTTGCCTGGGCTCTCACACTCAAAGCCCGTTCTAAGCCGCTAAGCGGCCCGCCAGCTCCGCAGATACATAGAAACACCCCCAAAAAGAGCTTCCCTACCGAAACCCTGAACCTTAAGATACAGCCGACGCCCTAGTTAAGGCTCTAAAAGGCCCCTAAACCCCAAACCCTTTTTTTTCGAACGTGCAAGGCTCTTCGGTTCGAGCCCATCAGCACCGACAAACCCTAAACCCCCAAACCCAAAGCCCCAAACTCTAAGCCCCTAAACCCTAAACCCAAAGCCCCAAACTCTAAGCCCCTAAACCCTAAACCCAAAGCGCCAAGCCAGCCCCGGAAAAACGAAGGCCCCTAACGAGGCCCGGGAGCAGACTTCAGGAGCTGCATCAGGTGCCAACCCGCCGGGTCCGGGAAGGACACCACGACGGACTTGATGATCTCCTGAGGGGTTTAGGGATTAGGGTTTAGGGGTTTAGGGGTTTAGGGGGTTTAGGGGTTTAGGGGTTTAGGGTTTAGGGAGGGAATCGAAGCCTCCTCATCTGGGCTTCGAGTCTAGTTACAGACAGGGCTTCATCAACAAGAGTCCTAGCTAGAGGTCCCTTTGGGTTTTCTTGGGAATTGTGTAGGGTCAGGGGGACTTTTGACCAATTAGCCTGAGAAGGTTGCGGGGAAGAAACGGCCTCGGGCTTTCTCAGGTTCCTGGTTTCTTCCCGAATCGAGGTCCACGAAACGGTTTTGGGAAACCAAAGATGAATTCATGATGAAAGCAGGAAACGTGATTCTGGAAGCTTGAGGGGTTTTCAGGTCTTCGGGGTTTGGAGTTAGGGCTTGAGCTTTAGGGTCTTTGCGGTGGAAGGTGTTGGAAGCGTGTTACCTTAAGCCCTGCTTCAGGGCTCTAGGGTTTAGGGTCAGGATTGTAAGTAGGGTTTCACGGCTGGAGATGATGTTCTAATTGTTGGCGGCCTTCAAGGTGCCTGAGCCACGACGAGCATTTCGGGTTTCGGGAGCACCCATTCGTCCTTTCAAGATGCCCGAGCCAAGCTCTATTCAACTCACTTTAGTCGCTTCAGTCTACACAATCTAAACGCAGGAAGCTCATATTGATAATAGTTGGGCGAGGCCGGCGGAAACGCACACTAATCCAGATCAAGCGTTTGGTAACAACAGGTGGCTGTGTCCAACCAACAACAAGGTGTCAAGATGCGTCGCGATCTGTTCAACGGAGCTCGCCAATCAGATCGACTCTGTCACAAGCCACACACGCATCAGTTTCCGTTTCATGGCCCCGCAGACAGCAGTAAAAGTTGCAAGAAGCCAAAACACAACGAAACGACAGTGTCCACCAATGATCTTGGAGCTGCGCACCTGAAGACCAATCGAACTGTCTGAGAAGCGAACCTGAACCCTAAGGCCCCCCCAAAGCCCCTAAAGCCCTAAACCTACCAAACCCTACACCCCTGAACCGCCCTACACCCTAAACCCCCGCGCTCCGAAAGAGCAACTCAGCTGCAAAAGTGCCAAGGGGCTCGGAAGACCTGCCTGAGACAAAGACCAAACGCTTTAATTTAGGGCTTCTATCAGGGTTGCCATCAGGGTTACTGCAAGGGGTGCTACAAGGGTAAGAATTCCACAAAACCCTTGACAAAAAGCGGCTCCATGAGGGTTCTTTCGGGAGGGAGTTCCAAGTGGTGTTGCAGGATTCTTGCGTCATGGTCCTACCGTCGCGGTCTGGGGACTTGTGAGGTTTAGGGATTAGCCTTTTTTGAAGGGGCTTTAGGGTTGTCAGGCTAAGGTTTACAGGACACAGCTCGTGATAGGACGACGCAGTAGCAGTAGTCATCATGACAGTGCCGATGCTGGGCTCTTGGGCGCGTGAACAGCAACAAGAATGACTGTTTTAAGACGTACGAGCTATATAGTTCTCCCAAACATAGTCTCTTCCAACTGGGTCTCTCAGCAAGGCGACACACGCATCTACGGACCCGGAGCAGGCCTGCCGGCAAACCACATCTCAATCCGAACCACTAGCCCTAAATTAGCTTACGACCCAAAGCCTCCACTCCAACACCCTGGACCTTTCCATGCAGCTGAAGCACCTCATGTCTGGATGAAGGGCACGGCTGATGAGCTGGGACAAGACGGTGTACCACATCCATGGCATCAGCCTTCTCCCCTTCGCAGGACACAGGGCTTGGACTGGCTGGGGCTTCGTGTCCTCGGTTCACGAGACCCTGAGCCTGCAAGGCCTTAGCCCACAAGGCACTAAGCCCCGCCTCGCTTGCGAGCTCTGAGTTCACGTCGGCCTTGTAGAAGTCCACCTGTCTTCGTGCGTTGCCGGAGTTGGAAGCCAAAGGCCCCCGTACAGCCCTTTAGCTGTATTCTGGGTATCCTTCATGCTGCGAAGAAGCTGTCTGTATGCGTGGAAGGAGCACACGTGCATACATACATACACACGTACCTCCATACGTAAGACATGCATGCATACCTTCAAAGAGGCGCATGCAAGCGTGCCTATTTCAATACAAAATTGCGTTTTTTTCTGTGCGCGTACTGACTATTTTTGTATGTGCAGGGCGGTGCAGTGCAGCAGTTCACCGTCAACGCGACGAATGCAGAACATTCACTGACATAGCGACCGATTAACCCCTAGTAGCTCACAGGCTGACCGGGCCAATGACCGTAAAGTACAGCGCATGCAGGCTCATCCACGGAGGCAGAGACGCTGCCCGTGTGTCTTTCTCTCTCTGTGTCTCTATCGTTTCCCAAGGCCTCGCAGCACTCCCAAGCAAGCTGCAGGACGCGGTTGAGAATAAAGTGGACTCCTTGCACCCGCCCGGCGAGTAAGACTGCTCAGCCGTCGGTTGCGGGGGAGTCGGGCTTCGGGTCTTGTAGCCATATTGACATTTCTTGCGGCCGAATCGCGCTTTGTTCCTCTCTGCAGCGCCTGGAGGTATCCGCGAACCGTGAAGGTCACGAGGTTCTTGCGATCGAAAGGGCAATTCCTCAGCTCCGACAGCATAAAGCCCCCAAGGCTTCAACCTTTCCGAAGGCCATGTATAAGGGTCTTAAATGAGTGGCACGGCGCAATCATGCAGGGAGTAAACATCGACACCAGCACTTGCTATTCAGGCCTTTATAGTACCAGAACAGACAGTCTGGAGAACCCGACATCTGAAATTGAGGACTCTGCCGCGGAGGGCTTCTTTTGGCGCGTTTGAATTACCAAAGTATCTATCTGACCCGAAACCCTTAAAACCCCAGCACCTGAAGTGTTGTGGAGACCCAGGCCATGCAAAAGCACATTTCAAAAGAAATACCCAGTACCCCACAACCCAGTAGGTTTGTGGATCCCAAGCTACTTATGCTTGCAACTCTTGGCCCCTGAGGGCGCCGCTCGTTTCGGGCCGCTTTGGCTTCGGCTTCGCTGATCTGCCCCTTCAGCAGGCCGTCCAAGTACGAGGCGTGGTAGAAGTAAGCAGCCTCCGGTTTAGGGTTTAAGGGTTAGCGCTAACTCCAACATTCGCATTCGCATGACTGATTGCATAAATCCACATCCTGAACCCTAAGTTTCCCAGACTCAATCCGGAGCACTCAACCCTGACCAGAAGAAAACCAAGGCTTCTTGTTGCTGGACCCCGGCCTCCGAGTCCCGAAGCTGCTCCTTCGCCTCAAAGCATCACAGGGCTGCCCTGGGGGCAGATTTAATTCGGGGGGGGTTTCGGTTTTGGGGTTTAGGGGTTTTGGGTTACCCCTATATGGCCTAGGAAGTACTACCAGAGCCCTGATGGAGTAGCAATGCCCCCACGGATCTGATGACATACCCTCTCACAATCCCTCGCCTTTTCCAAACAAGCACCTAAGAAATACCCCCTCTCCCTGCATACAACTCTACAGAAACCCTTAAATCAAAAAACCCTACTGTAAATTCTATGAACCCCGTTCTGGTTCTTGGAACCGGGCCCCTCTTTCCGAGCCCGAAACCCTGAACCCTCAACCCTAAAACCCTCAACCCTAAACCCCCTCAACCGCCCTCAACCGCCCTCAACCCTAAACCCTAAACCCCTCAACCCTCAACCCTAAAACCCCTAACCCCTAAACCCCTAAACCCCGAAACCCTAAACCCCCTAAAGCCTCCCTTTTTTTCCGGGCGCCTCCTGGAACTCCACCTCGGCGACCTTGGGAAGCAGCAGCAAAGCATCCGAGGCCTGGCGCTGGGGTCTTTGCTCTACCCAAAGGCCCCTAGGGTTTAGGATTTAGGGTTTAGGGGTTTAGGGTGTAGAGGTTGAGGGTTGAGGGTTTTAGGGTTTAGGGTTTAGGGTTTTAGGGTTTAGGGTTTAGGGTTCAGGCCCATAGATGCCAATACCCCTTAATTAAGGAATCGACACACCTTTAAGGGTTCCTTAAAGGGATCTATAAGGGTCTAGGGTTTAGGGTCTAGGGGAGTTAGGGAAGATACCTTAAGTCATAATATTAAGGCCCCTATAATTTTAAGGCATATTCCTTCATTGAGGGGTATTGGGTTCTCTGGGTAGCCAAAGGCTCCAAAGTCGTTCCTTGTTTGGGGTTACCTTATAGGATGACGCATATGAACCACAAAAAAGGAACTACCATGGAGCCTATAGGTAGGGCTTTAAGGCTTTAGGGCTTTCGGTGCTTGGGGTTGGGGTTCGGGGGTTTAGGGTTGTAGGGGGTTTGGGGGGTAAGGGTTGTAGGGGTTGGGGCTTGAGAGTTGGATTTGGAATTTCGGGGCCTTGACGATACGATACCTATATAAAACAGGTACCGTCAGAAATAGTATTTGTAATTACTCAGACCTCAACATTATTGTGGGTGTTGGAGCCCAGAATAGGGTCGGCAATTGGAGCAGTAACGTAAGGGTCTTCAAAAGAGTTGAAGCACTGTCTCTCTGGGCTCTCCGTTGTGGTTTTGAGGGCTCCAGGCTGTAATACAGAGGTCTGTAGAAAGTGTCCACGATGTTGGGGGGGATGTTACAACATAATATGGGGACCGTGCCAGAGTACTGTTCTTGCTACTGTTTGGGAATGTTGACGGAGCGATACTATTTTGCATTTCGTGGTCTCAAACCCCTGAATGCAAACAAATCGTAAAGCTTGAGCTGCTGAGCGGCAGCTTCTTTGAGAAGCTCGGATGCTTTGTGTCCGGGAAAAAGGGAGCGAGTGTGACGGATACCAGTAACTGTAGTTTATGATTTCAAGGTTCAGGGCTTATCTTTTCAAGGTGTGCAGCATTGCGGCTGTAGTGAAGGGCCATAGCATGCAGCAGCATGCTTATTGCAGATCCCCTCAATTTCCTCATTGCCGGTTCTAAAGTTCTCCCAGAGGTCAAGGACGCAGAGGCCTAAGCTCTTCCTAAGCTCTTAACTCCAGAATCCTGAGACCCTAACGGCGGAAAGCCCCTAAAAAACTCCTCAAGGCTCTCTACACCGCCCCTCCGGACGCCCTACATACCCGGTCCCGAAACATGTCAGAACCCTCTGTGTCGGGAACGCTTACACCCCGAGTCCCTGAACCCCAAAAGGCCGCAAAATTCCCCAAAATCCGACTGCCATCGACCCTGAAACGACATTCACAAAATCAGCAAATCTCATACCAAAGACCCCAAGCCATGAACCCGGAATCCCATTTACGATGTCGAGCGCACACTGAGGCGCGTGCCCAACGAGTCCCCAACAATCGAGCTTTCGCGTCGTGCTGCGCCCAAAGTCGCCTCCGGCATAGGCTTCCTTTTGGGTGCGGGGTTCCGACTCTTGGGGGCTTATAGGGCCGTTCAGGGCCGTTTTAGGGTTTAGGGATTTTGGGTAAGGGTTTTAGTTCTGCCGAGCGTCGTGTGGCGAAGGGCATCCGTGCGGGCTCCGCTGGCATAGAGGATCCTCGGCTGTGGGAGTTTGGGGCCCGCGGAGGTGACGGCGACAAGGGGAGAATCCTCTGAAGCGGAGCATGAAGGTACTCAGCCACTCCATAGGCTCCAAAGTAGTTCCCTTTTTGGGGGTTACCTTAGAGGATCCTAAGTATGAACCACAAAAAGGAACTACCATGGAGCCTATGGGTACTAAGTATGCCATTAGATTAGAGCATGGTGGTGCTGGCCAAGGGCTGGCTCGAAGCTCCGTTAGCTCGGGCACATGTGGCGGAGCCCGTAGCAACATGCACAACAACGCAGCGATGACAGTATAAGGTAAGCCTGACAAGACGAGAGCCTGCTCAAATCTTGCAAGAACCAGCCACGTGAACAGAAAAAATAGAACAAGATCCAGCCGATCATAGTAACGCCGGTGACCCTGTTGATACTTCCTGCGGCCATGTCACTTGCCCCACTCAATCTGGGCAGCACGCCGCAGCCCTTCCGAGGTTCCTTGAAAACCTCCGGACAAGAAACAACTTGACAACGAACTTGGCTACAGTATGAGGTATCCAGCCGTCAAGATAACTTACTCGTGGCTCTGGCTCTAAGTTGGGCGCTGGTGTCGGGATGCTCCATGGAGATGTGCTCCTTGTGCTTCCGGCCTGAGACGCGGCACGGAGCAAAGCGACGAGACTAACTAACTCTCTGTCACACTCCCTGGGCTGCGCGTGCACAAAACAAAACAGGTGCCCGTGCCACGGACGAGTGGCAGAGGCGAGCGAAGGCCAACTCCAGTGTCTTCGCATCCTCCTTCAGCTTCAGGTCCTGAACTGACACACGTCTCCACACATCTCGAAGGCTTAGTTGAGACATGTGGTGGCAGCAACTTGACTGTCGCAGCCCTGCTCCTGGAGAAGAACGCTGAGTGGTCTCAGGAGTGTCTGCCGCACGGAGAACGAAGGTGTCGTGATGTCCTTGGAGCGACTACATGCGGGAGAGACCCGCGCTGCAACCGCCAGCTTCAAAGCCAACGCGTGCCCCACGTTTGGACCACTCTGCCTCCCTAAATTGGAGGATGAGCAAGTTGCTCTGTTTATCATACCAGTGTCATGGTCGTCAGACTTCAGTCGTCCGCGCGATTCTGCGATCAGGCTCTTGCTCCTGCTGAATCTTCTGTCGCTGCATCGTGTGGTGCTGTAAAGATGGTGGCGGCTCAGTGAGGATCATGGTTGGGCACGGCGGTGGGACCAATGTCAACACCACTGAATGTTACTGCTGCTGATGATGATGATGGCCATCTTCTTGTTCACCATCGCTGCTACCATCTGTCTCTGCTACGAGTACTTGATGCACGGGTGCTTCGAAGCACCTCCCGCAGGAGGTTGCACATGGAATCCCTGGGCTCGGCACGCAGCGGGCGAGGAGATTCTTGGCGACGTCTCCCGGCTTCGAATTGGAGCCCTGCGGCGACGCGAGCTTTTTCGTAGCCGGCATTGAAGCGTCTGAGGGTTGAGGGACTTCGATGGGAAACTTCGGCCGAGGCGGTCATAGGATGCTCAAGTTGCCTTTCCAAGCATGGCGGCTTTGGGTTCGCAGCAGGATTCCCGGCCCTACCAAGACCCCGTCCTCTCTGTCTGAACCCTAAACTCCAAACAACAGAACCGCCGACAAACCCGAAACCTGAAAAACCACCCTCAAAGCTGTAGAGAGCTCAAGGTGCTTCGAACAGGGATTCCAGATCCCAGGATTTCGGTACTATCTTCGAAGGCTCATAACGATGCTACAAGGCAGTCCTTGTAGTTAGGACTATAAGCTACATGATTGAATTAATGCTATCGTACTTCCCCTGACCCATTTAAGGTAACCCGAAACCTAAGAAACCATAAAAGCCCCAGGAGAGCCTCTGAATAACGGGATGTACCTTGCGGTCACATTAGGCTCTTGACAGGGTGTCACGTGCATTCCTTGAGAGCGACACTTGTGGGTTCTCTGGGCTTCAAGGGCCCTGCAGGGTCGTTTTGCTTGCGGTTGGGTCGTTATTTTGGAGGTCGTAAGTGACGACGCCTCTGCGGGCAGATGCCAGTATATCAAGTTGCTCCGCCTCCCGGTACTTGCTCACCCAGTCGATATCGGAGAGCACGTGCAGGCCTCAAGCGCTGCGGCTTTAGGGGTTGGCGCAGTCTCTGAACCGCACCCCGCAAAAGTCTCGCCTGAAAGTCTGATCTTGAAGCCAAAAAGTGGGCGCAACGAGTGCTCAAGAAACCAGGCACAAAACGCCCGAACCCTTAATTACCTTAATCCCCACAGCCCTGCGACAGGAGGAAGGACCTCAAGCCCCTCTCAAACACAACGGCCCAATCATGACATTCTCGTTTAGGGTGCCGGGAGCCCCATCGATAACGAAGGGGAGAAGTTTACACATCCTCGCTTGTGAGATGCCAATGTAAACACCCACCACATTCCTTTAACACAACAGTCTTGCAGAATCCATGCAAAGCAAACACTTAACGCTGCTCTGAGATTTAGAGGTTACAAGTAGAGGGACGTGAGCAGAGTGGCTGGTGTCGGTGGCTGCAGCAGTTGCATGATATTTATCGTACGAAGTGTTGAGGCTCTTCTTTAACAGCTTCGCCATGAACCCATAACCCTACACCTGCTTCTTGTCTTGCGTGGACGACATCGCTCAAGCTTCCTTTGATGACCGGGACCTCGTGTGCATTGTTATCGCTCTCCACCTGCATCTCCTCCATGACATTCCACATGAGTACCGGAAAGCTGCAAAGCGCAGTGCACAAGTCAAGCCCACTGTGCTCGCGAGCAGTAGCGGCTCGTTGAAATTCACGAACCGTGGATTCACGTAGTTCACGATCTGGGTCTGAATCTTCAGGCGCAGCACTGCGAACATGGTGCATCTTCAATCTCCCCGAAACAAACTCCGAAGCAGGTATCCGAAGCCGATTTGCACGGTTGCTACACACTCATGCCACGTGATGCTCATGCCGGAACACCCGGCTTCCAGAGCGAGAGAGAGATCCCGGCCCAGTGCAAGAAAATCGAAGATAGAGTTGAGCAGCCAAGTGACTGGGCAAACATGCATGGGTAACGGCCTGTAGATGCCATAGATAAGTGGATAGATAGCTAGGTGGATAGATGGATAGAAAGATAAACAGATAGATAGATAGATACCAGTCGCAAACCCGCAACTCAGGGTTCTGCCTCCCCCTTACGACAACGCCCCGTTATGACGACTTACAGAAACATCCTCTTCTGAGTCTGAGGCTTCTGTGCAGGACCTTGAACCCTGAAGCCGAAACTTTCCGCAGCCCAACCCTTCCAACGTCTTCCGAGGCTTCCGCGCAGGAGGTGCTGGTAGGCCCGGGTGTAGGACTCGCGGGCTGCCGCGGAGGCGGCGCGAGCCACCTCCGGACTCTCTCTGGGTCTACGGTGGCGGTTTACTGCTTTCTGTTATTCAGACGACCGCTCAACCAAACTGGCCATTTTGATCGTAGTCTTCCATTTCTGATGATCCTCGGAATATCGAGACTGCCGCTTGATGCCAAACAAGGGGATGTGCGCTGAAAGCATCGCACTCGAAGAACACGTGAAGCCCAGGCGAGCGACTTCAGTTTGTCACAACTGCGAAACACGAAAGCTGTTCCTGGGACTGCACTCATGTAATGTGTCGGAGCAACAGCAGTCATGGAGGCACGCATGGTAATCATTACCATCGTTTGAATTCCAGCAAACAGGATGATGCTCACATCGGCCGACCTCCAGCGTTGTCTCGCGAAGTGTGGTGGACAGTGTTGCAGAGTCCCTCTCATGCACTGCCAGCACTGCCCTGCCCAGCTTCACCTGCAGGAGAACTCATGGGGTCTAAACAAATTGCTCTCCTCTGACTATGCAGGGAATACAGACAGCTGTTAACGCTAGCAACGAGTGAGAGAGCCCCTAGACAAGGCTTTGAAGCATCGCCATACCATAGCATCAGGACTACTGCTCGTCGCACGATTTTGCGCAAAGTTAACCATGCTGCTGACTATTTACTTAGTGAGGGGTCTGTTCCAGCCACCCGCTGTTCGTACTTCATGTGGAACGGGCTGTCAATAATCATCCGGTCACCTGCCCTATCCACAAGCAAGTCGTACCAGTACTCACCCTAAGCCCCGGCATGCGCCGTCCTTCCCTTTGTTGCTCTGTTGCGAGTGAACGGCAAGTGCCTGGAAGTCGCACGGCCCGTCTGGCGAGGGCTCCTGGCAGAACGCAGCTACCAGAGGGACCCGGGAGGGGGGGGGGTGGGGTGGGAGTGGGAGTGCTAAAGGGGCTACCGCTTTCATGCCTAGGTTGTGTCGAAAGTGTTGGGCTAAAGGGATCTGCTGCATCCCGTTGGATGGTTTGCCGGCTTTTGGGCTTTTGTGGTGTCGAGCTTCGGCTTTGGCAGCGGAAAACCCAAAAGCCGTAGCACCGAGCCATTGTCAACCCCTAGCCCAGTCCGCAAAGCGCCAACTGCGTTCGCCTGAAAGCCCATCGACAGTCGAATTGGAGGCTGCTCGCGAGGACACAGGAGAGGGTAAGAAAGCTAATAACAGCTATGAGAACAATAATACCAGGATGCAGAAACAGCAAGATTGCTGATGAAAAACACTACCAATCACGTTCATTCCACCCTGCGACTTAACCCGGAACCCTAAACCTCAAACCCCAAGACCCTACCGAAAGCATCAAAGAACCTAGTTCAGTAAGTGTGGTTATATGTCAGTAACTATCGTTGTTATTAGCCATGACACAAGTATATGCCCCAAATGAATCCCCGCGAAACCCTGTAACATCCCTCCAAGCCCTTCTAGCCCTGTAGAGACCTGACAACCCGACACGAACCAATCAGAAGGCAAATCCATAGCCCCTACGTCCCCAAGCTTTCCCTACTATGATATACTGCAGTTATACTACAATATACTAGAATATAGGACAAAAAAACTGCTGTATGCCTGGAGGACTTCCGTCAGCCGATCCCAGCTTCCCAGCTGCCAGGCAGCCTCGGAAAGTTCAAGGGGCCACCCCTACGACATGAAGCCCAGGGTCACAGTCTCAGTGTTCTTAGGACAAAAAAGAGCATCCGTGCCCGTTGTTAAGTCTGTTTTCGTTCTGTCATCAAGCGATTACTGTTTCCATAATCTTGATTACTATACCGACTGATACTAGTATTGTGAGTTTTGCTGTTGTTGCATTACCAGAATTCCTACTCTCACCGCTACATAATCATAGTATCGTCGTCGTTGTTGCTGTTACCATCAGTAGCACTGTGATGGCTGACTGTGGCCTCTTCTTTGTCAGTCTTGCTCCAACATTGCTTTTTGAAATCCCCCACCCCTTCCCGGCCTCAACAGCGTGCGGCCGCAGCGTTTGTGCTAACTCGGGCTGCTCCTGAAGGGAGCATCCAAAGGCTGCACTAGACTCAATTTGCATGTAACGAAAAATGAACTCGAGCTGCAACCTCTACTCTCAGCCTGGCATGACACTGTCATGTTTCCACCCCGAGCTCTACAATTGCATCTTGCTCCATCACCCTAAACCCTAAACCCTTAACCGCATCTGTCCTGCCGGATGCCAGTGATGAGCTGCAACGAGCTCTCGTAACGGCGCATCGCCTCGCATCATGGACATGCTAGACCAGACCCCCACCTGAATCCACGACAAAAGGCAAGAAGCCCATAAAACTAGGATGATCTAATTTCATACTGGGACTGTAGTTTCGGGGCTTGGGTTCATTATTGTTCCGAAGTGTTTTTGGGACACCGAAGAAGCCCCTTAAGAGTGCCCGGAGCCTACCGCGGAGATTACGGGATGTTCCGGCAACACGATGCTTGCATCCTCAACGCTCCCAACTTCCCAAACTCAATCGGCCGGGGCTTCAACTTTGGGGATATCGAAACCCCTCAACCTGCACCTTTGAACCCCTAAGCCCTAAGTCCCTAAGCCCTACATTCTAAAACCCTAAGACCTAAACCCAAGCGCTCATCCTCTCAAAACCCTCCAGCTTAAATACTAAATTCAAAGCCCTCACCCGCATATATATATATATGCTACCCCGCCCCCCCATTGACCTACCTTTGTTGGGGGTCTAAGGAGCACCCAATAGCAATGAGTCATGATTAAAACAAAAAAGAGACTTGAACTGAAAAACTGCGGTGATAGATATGGGGGGACGGCAAAGAGGGTACGTAGGGTAGATAGGACAGTTTCAGAATCTTCGGGTAGCATATCGTCCCTGAGTAACTGCCATCTTTCGTTTCAGGACATGAAGA